GCTGAGTTTGGAAAAATAGACAGACATAAAGAGGATTGAGGATTTTGTGTGGGTGGTACATATAGATATGCTTACAAAAATAGATTGACATTTTGCAAAATATGCTGATTAGCTTCCTTGATTAGATTTTTGAAGGGAAGGTCAATAACACCCTCATATCTCTCTGTTAAATATCAAGTTGATGTTTCAAAGGTACCCACAGTGACGTTGCTTGGAAACCAGCCGCTTTAGGATGTCTCAGCCATCCAAAATCTAATCAAACGAGCAGTATAGCACATGTTAAACTATATTTGGTTACATTTGTGAAAAGGCATCGCATGTAAGCTCGGGAACTAACCATTTTTCTTTATCAAAGTAAACATTTTCTACTTGAATCTTCTTATATTTTTGTGTAAAAAAGTGATTTGTACACAAACATTCTTAGTCTGATAGAAATGGAGGGAAAATATGTTAATTGACTACGTATAAAAAGCTGTAATATAGTAGTTATCGAGCTCAAATGAAGAAAAGCTGTTATTTGAGGTCCGTTATGGCATAACCATAACCCTCACATGGACAAAGTGGAGGGACATAACAGCTGGACATCTAAAAGCATTTTTTGGTTTACATTTCCACCAACAGAAAGTGTCAGAAAGTAAACTGTGGCTCTTTTCTTGACACTGAACATTTTGACTGAGATGCCAGTCGAGCGGAGAAATACATTGCACACCAAAACACTTTATGAAGAAAAAACATGCTGCAGTTTAAATTCATCCTCTCATGGTTGTAGCTCCTTCCTGTCCTTGTCCTCTCGTTTATTCATTCGCGCTTTGCTTCCCGTTTACTCCAGCTCACACCAATTTGAATGGTCATAAAATTCAAATGCCTCATCTAAATACTTGAATAAACTAGAATAATCCCCAGCATATGCACATGAATTAATGTATGAGGCTGTCTCTGCAATAAATGGTTGCATCTAAATAAAATCACTGTAATTTTTTTCTTTTGAAATTATCAAAGAATGCAACAATGACACACCAGAGAGGGACAGAATATGAGAGAAAAAAGGCTGAAAGTTAAAAGAAAATAAATACCAGGACCTTTATTTTGTTCTCGGTTATCCCGTTTTTATGTTAGCCCTCCTTCCCCATGTGTAATCCAAATTATGTGATTCTTCTCCTGTAATTCCCAACAGAAGGGAAACGTGCCGCATTTGGAGTCACAAAAATGTCAAGCTATTTGTTGAGAGCTGATCAATTGTTTTCCAAAACAGCCAAATCATTTGACTGGTTATGGCTAATGTCAATATTCATTTCTTTTCTTGCCCTTTTGTACTTGTTGATTTAATAGCTCATCAGTTGGAATTATTGACTGTAGGAACAAAACAAGCAAAATGTCAACTTGAGTTTTGGGAAAATGAGTTAGCTTAAAAACACAGAGAGTGTATTATTCTATTTCAATATGAGACCAAAGTTTTGCTTTCTGCTTTGATAAATACGATAAATACTCTTAACATTTTTCTTAATTTATCACCATTTGTCCCCAGCAGCTTAGAGTGGACAGAGTAAACCTTCCTGCTTTTTAAAGCTATTATTTGATGAAATTGGTGGAAGATAGAGGTGTCAAATTTTTCTCAAGCCTAGATGCTGGTAAAAAAAAAAGAACACTTTTCTGAATTTTTTTTTGTAAAAAAATAAATAAATGAAATAAAATAATAATAATAATAACAATAGTTTTAAAAAAGAATAATTATCTTAACCCAAACAAACCCGACTGTGTGTTGAAAGTTTCACCCGAAGCTGGACTGGTATTCTTTTACATAGTGTGGGAGCCCATTCTGTCACTGCATGACGTACCCTCATTTGTGTCCCTTCACAATGTTCGTGGGCTTTGTCTCATGTTTCAAACTGACAGCAATTTAAGCGGGCTGATGACAATAAATAAGATAACATGTAAGTCAACAACGAACTGAAGCATCATTCTCCATGAGGCATAGTGCTTAAATGGACCGGATCTAGAGTATACAGTATAGTCCAGCAGGCTTGCAGTTTTGCTCCAAGTTGACACAATCTGGGCATTGTCACATGATTTGGCATGCTGATTGTTGTAAACACATGATCTAATGTAAGTTCCTCACAACACATCTTAATAGCTTAATGTTGTTTTTTTTGGTCAGAGGAAAAATGAGAAAACCACAGCTGTCCGTCAAGAGGAGCTGTTTCCCCTGCTATAAAATACAAACTGTTTGGATTTAGACAATTCCAACTGTAGTGAGTGATCCGACATCTGAGCTTTGAAAGCTTTGCTTTCAAGGTTTCTTCAAGGAACATATACATTGTTCAGTTTGCAGCATGTTCAGGTGTCTTTCATGGCCTGAATGATATTATGTTGGTTTTCTATTCTTTGAATTCTTACAGTCTTGATTTCATTGACACACCTAGACTTTTTGCACCTTACAGTGAGGGAAATCGATAACGTTCGCAAATTGTTGACATTACTTGTGAGATGAATTTTTGTCAATTCTTCATGAAAATTACATTCCTGTATCTTTCTTTTGAGAAAGAGAGAGAGAGAGAGAGACAGAGAGAGAAAATGGAAGTGCCTTTCCTGTGGAGAGATGGTAGATTTGCTTAAGGTACATTGAAGCAAAGCATTGATTTCCCTCAAAGGCAATAATAAGAAAGGAAAAAAAAGACTTGTCCTCTATCTGGTCAGAGCCAGCTAAGCAGCACAGTGCGGCAGTATTCCCTTGCCCTGCTTTTTACAGATTGAATCATTTGAGCCTCTGTTGAAAGTAACAATTAATCAGGAGGGAAGTGCAGTTAAAGCCTCCGGAGAAACGTTTAAATACATTCACATATCCTGACTGACTTTGTGTTCACATAAATCCTCTACAGTCCAGGACAATGCTGAGGGCACCAAGAAGAGAGGGCTTTCTGCAGCCTCGTTAGATTTGTGGCAAGTATTCAGTGGGCTTTACTTCTCTTCAGTGTACAAGAAGCTTTACACCCTCTGAATTTCCACTTGAGAGCAACTCTGATCACTGAACACACATTGAAGCTTTGGCTCATGTCTAAATGGAATAAAATTAGGCGTAGAGACCAAGAAAAAAAAGTGACATTTAGGGAAAATGTTCATGCTGTGCAATCAGGGCTCATTTCATACACTGAGCCCCGTTAGTGGCTGCTATGTCACCATTTGGCAAGGAGCAATCAGATTTAATTTAAAGCCTTTTTGGTGTTTCCTGTATGCTCAGTGTCTGTCTTTAAATGAGAAAAGTCTAGAGATCATAGCTAATAACATGTCTTTGAAAGCACAACTGCTCCTCCACTAGGTTTGAAAAAAATGGGATCAGAAGGCTTCCATTTAATGCCTGGACACTTTTACTTCAAATATGATGCTGTGTAAAACAAAAAAAAACAAAATAGAAGAGAAATAATGATGTTGTATACTACAGTATGGTGTTGGGGTTTCATGGGGAAGACCTGTTTAAAATATTTTTCACAAGGCTGACAGCTTTCTTTATTATTTCCTTTTTTTGTTTCCTTACCACAAACGTTTGAGAAATTGATTTTGGATTAATTTCATATCAATCTAATAAACTGTGATGGATAAAAAAACCTCCCCATCACAGCACATGCAAAAAAATATATGATATGACAGAGGAAAGATGGCTTTATGTTCAGTTCCTGCCTGCTGGGAAATCATCTAAATAGTGACGTTAAATATTGGGGCATGAGTTTGATGCGGTGTTAGCAGGAGAATGCAAGATCCCTCAGTGAGTGGCTTTGTTGATTTCATTTATTGCAACAGATAGAAAATGTGATATAGCCTCTTGCACCAAAACTATTTTCAAAACAAACTAAATCTAAATGGATTGCCTGGGATCGATTTTGACTTTTTGATTTTTTTCTGAGAAATTGGCAACTGGCAGTTTTCAAAAAACTTTTTAAAAAGGAATACTTAATGTCTTTGCACTACATTTTCACTCTGGTAAGGCTCAATTCTGCTTTTTTCATACCTCCTAAGTGGAATAAAGATGAGACTTAAACTTGAGCTTAGTGGAGTTTTTATCCATTTTCAAGAAGCCAGCCCAGAAAATATTATTCTCATGTACTACAAAGTCTCACTGAGTCATCCGGCTGTGAGTGAATGCTGACCTTTCAGCAACCCCAATGTATTGCCTGCATAATCTTACTGTTGTGCCTCCCAAAAACAACAGCTGCCTCGGTTCAGGAGGATTACACAGACGAATGTATCTGGTGTTGATCTGCAAAAAATAAATAGATTGGTTCTTGTTAAATACATCTGTAAGCAAGACCGATTCAAACCTTGAATGTGATCCCAGAGAAAATCCATGAGTTTTAATTTGATTTGGCCTCACTCTCTAAATCCCTTTTTTTGTCAACCTCTGCTTTATTGAACTCAAACCACAACACATATATCATGTCACGTAGCTCTAAAATATTGTAACTGCCAGTTCTGCTGACGAAACATCATTTTTTCCGACTCATCTGTTTCCCTTTTTTGCATGTTAACTATGTGGGTTTGACTCCTTTCACTACTAAGTCTAAACCAGATGTTTTTCCTCTATTCTGCATGTACTGAAATCCTTGTATTTTATGCATTTTATGTGACTATTTCAGACTTTCGCTGTCCACTACATTCATTTGATTTTTGGTTATGGTAGTCTCCAAATTTTATTTTGTTTTCATATCAATGAAAAAGTGATGGGCTTTTTTCTGATGTCAGATTTTTCTCAAATTCTTGTGAAACAGTCAATCAGATGTACTCAATCTGTATTTTTATTTGGATATTTGATAGATTTAGCTGTATTTGTTCAAATGGATTGTTTAGGTCTAGATATTATTTGTTCTGAACTTAAGTTTAACCAACAATCATACATGCAACTACGAAAAAGGAGGTTTTAGCTTAGTGGCCATTTTTAGTCTTTTTAGTGCATTGTTATAATTGACTGTTTGTTCTGAGACTAATATTAATTGATCATGCAATAAAAATGAATGTTTCCACACACCCCTTTCCCCTTTTTTGCTCTCTCCTCAGACCCAGACTTTGCAGACCTGGGAGTGCCCCCACCTCTGCCCTGTAGGTACACTCACTTTGACTCTGTTTTTCTTTGTCTCTTGTTATTTGTATAAATAAGTTATTTTATTCTTAGCTCTCTTTTTTCTCTCTCACTGAAGTCTACTATACACTTTTTGTATTGAACCTAGCCCAGATTTTGTAATGCTGGCTATACGTGGTGTCTTTATAAATGCTGACTGCTTGCTTGACCTGCATGCTTGAACTTTTGTGTGTTTATGAATATGTGTGTGTTTCAGCCTGCCAGTATGAAATGGTTGGTCCGGAAGGTATTGTTGAGTCTCATCAGATCACCAGGGATGGGAAGGCGGGTGCTACTGAGGCTGTCGATTGTAAATGGTACATCCGCGCTCCGCCTCGCTCCAGAGTAAGTGACATAAAGCACACTCCCGTCTAACTGTAAATTCAATTGACAGCTAAATGCAGAGTGCCACATGAAATGGCAGGGGGATAAAACTGAGTACCCATCTGCCGGGTTGATGTCCAGTTGTTCAGCTGACAGCTATATTGTGCTCAGTATCATCCCTCTCAAGTTCAGTTGAGGGTGTTTTCTTAATAGTTAGCTTCCTTTTGTTTAGTATTCCTGGATTTGTGCTGCAATATCGTGGCTTGCATCAGGAGGCTTTTATAATGCATGCTGGTTTCTCTGCAGTTTCCAGCATTATTCTGATGCGAGCGTTTGTGGCTGTGGGGGACGAGGGACGACGTGTTCCCCCATTAGGGTCAGATGGACAGGCAGAGGGGTTCACTTTGGGTCAAGCCCATTTTTGCCAAGAGGAATAAAGGGGTCTAAGGAGGAGGAAAAATAGATGGAATAAGCAGAGGAGATAGTGACTTGGTTATATCTGACAGAGAGAAAATAAGGGAGAACTAATAGGGACAAAATAATGTTGATGTGCAGTTTGACCCTGAGGCCTCCAACAGCCCCTGTTTGTTTTCTCTGCTTGTGTTGAGAATGTAACCCTGCATGCATATACAAATACAGACATGCACTCTCACACACCTTTACTCAAACCCCAATACTCACCACACCATGTTTCCTTATCTAAGAGAAGTTCCTGTGCTACATTAATGTTACAGGATTAAATTCCTCCCGGGGCTGGAGCAGCAGGGTAGGAAGAAGCCTCTATTTTACAAATGTTGCAACCTCTCATCTGTGTCATTACGGCTTGAACTTTGATGCCTTGTTCAACTTCAATTCATAAGCGCAGTAAATCTCAAATAATGTTCGCTTTTATTCAGTGAATTTACAGGATTTGATTTAATAGAATATTCGACTTTTATAGCTAGAACGGTTCCTTCAAGGACACAAAGTATCACGAGGTCTGAATTTTAACAAGCTAAAGGACTTCTTTTTTTTAACCGTATTTGAGAATTTAGAGGTGAAATGAACTTGTATATTATACTGCAATGGTCTGAGGTCTTAAAGGATCTGCAAAACTCACCTCATCCTATTTAGACATGCTCCCTGTTTCAGACATTTAGCTTTGGCTGGCAGAAAATATGGGATAGCATCTTCATTCATATCCACATTTCATTAAGTCTGTTGATCAGTGAATAGGAAATCGCAAAGCCCTCTTAGACCATGCAAGATTGTGTAGTAGTGTTAACGGTTCAAAATGTACTGTTTTCTAACTGACAGATTTGTTGTTTTGTTTTTTCAAAGGAATTTAGAACTGCCCAAAAAGGATTTTAAATGACCATACAAAAAGAAAAAAAACTGTTAAATTACATTGAGTTTTTCTGGATTTCTTTCTGTTTCTCCAAAGCAAAGGAGCCCGATGTACCAGCTCTTACTGGTGCACACACTCTGGCTTATGATATTACTGGCTGATAACATTGGTTGGACTGTGATTCATGGCCACAGCAGCTGTTCTTATCTGGCATACTCTTCGTGTTGCATATTTCCCGCTAATGTCCTTGTTTCCCCCCCTAGAAATGTCCTTCTGACTCATTCGTTTTTTAACTCAAGGCCATGGGAAATAAAAGGGTGCACCATTCACATTCAGACTTTCACTGAATCATCAGCACTCACATGTATCCATACAACAAGCATTACAGGGAAACAGGTAACAAGGAGCTTTGTAGCAGTATTCCTGAGTTACTTCAGGTTGTATATTTCTGTGTATTCATGTGTGAATGTCTGTGTGTATAACAGAATAACGCTCTGTACGCTGACGGTGGTTGTTAGTGACAAACAAAAGGAGGCAAACAAAATTTTTAGCACGACTCGACGTTCAAACACGCAGCCCCGAAGCTCTTACCTCCACTGCAACACCCATGAAGCATATAAACCCTCATTTAGGTCGTTTCAAATCCTTTTGTCACATATATATGCTTACATTTTACTTCAGAGGAGCTGCAGAGGATGCCATCACCACCACTCCTACCCCCCACTCCCATTACTGTTTATATGTATGCATGCGGTTGCACTGGGAGCTGGGCAAGGCATTCTTTCCCCTATGCTGAGATAGTACTGCACTGTACCCAGTGTGCCAGGAACAGCAGAGAGATAATGACATCCTATACCGGAGGCTCTAATTAGACTGCACAGGAGCACTCCAGAGAGAAAGCAGGGTTACAGAGGAGGGAGAACAAGAAGGGAGGGGAAAAATGAAGATACTTAATAATGCATTTTATCGAAGATATAAATGTATAAGGGATGGAGTTTAGGGATAAGATGGCAGATGGCTGAAAGAGACGGTGAAAGTGGAAATTCTTGCAAGTAAGCAGTAACGACCATGTGTTGTTGCCAGAAGTGACAGCAGTGCACCACTTTTAATGCAATCACAGTATTATCGTTTCAACATCAGGCTTTGCAATTAAAAGCTGAAATAGTATAGATGGACGCACAAACCAGCAACTCATCTTGCAGCAAGATTGTGAAACTAAATGTCAAATACCTGTGAGTCTTCCCACTGTTGCCTGTTTTTAGCAGTTATATTGGTTATTTTTTATATTTCTGTTTTGAAATCTGTCCAGATTCCGATGACAGAGTTTTATTTGGGAATACTTTCAGTTGCCTTATAGAACAGTTTTGTCTATTTTTCCACCACAACTGCCTGCACATTCTGACATCTGCCGCTTGTTTTCATAAAGATAATGGTCACAATACGGACAGTCGTTCAGACTGTAATGAGCAGCAGCCACTGTTCCAGGCACCTTTTTAGCCTCAGAGAACACATTCTTCCTGGGTCAGAGATAGATTCCTCATCATTATTATGCAACGCGATCAATTGCGGGGCAGCCTGTTTTTGGGAGGTTTTTTTTTCAGCTGGGGTCCATCTCTCACCTTACAAATTTGTGATCTGATTCATTTCTGTTCAGTGGATTTGTGTCCTGCTCTCAGATTTTATCTTCATCACTGGGCAGTTTGTGCTCATTAAAAAGAGGCATCAGCAAAGCAACATAAAATGCTTTTACTTGTGTGTGGCTCTTAGTTTCTATTGTGAAATCGTCACATAATGAGGTCCCTGTGCTCACCTTACAGTCAGTGCAAACAGCAACTGCATCTTCTTTTTTTTTTTGCACCTCATCATCAAAGGTTTGACTTCAGAGACAGATTTCTTCTTCCGTTATCATTCCTAAGCAGAATACACACAAGTGACATGGTAACAAATTCAACCCACAGTAACAACAAAGCTACATTCCATTTTCAATAGCATTTGTAGCCTCCTTTTGACAGTCTTATCATATAGATGTTGTAATGTTTTGCAGCATACGTTACTCCATTCACGGTTTAATGAGCCATCTCCTTGACATCATACACTGAAAGCAAAGTGTTAAGAAAGCAGCCGCTACCTTCACAACACACTTTGTGCCATGACTTCAACAAGAAAGTGTTGTGATGGTCAAGATGCTCTTTGATTACTCTGAGTTCATTTCGTTTAATTAGCCATTAGCACTCAATAATAGACCATGCAAAGACCTTAATGTTAGTTTTATAAACACTGTTTCACATTTGCAATTAGTCTGCCTTGGCTGAGAGAACTTTGGAACTCGTTACAGATTGTTGCATTAAGTGCATTCTTTGTGCTGTGGGTGGAAAGCTCCATATCTGATTTGCCTACTACGGTATCCTGATTACTATACGTCTTTTATTATTTTAAGAAAAACATTTTCGTCGCCAGCAGCTGTCCATAAAGTGTAATCATGTTCATTTTTAGGGCAAAGCTATGATTGAAAACTATTGACAACATTATGAGACCCCTGGGGAAGCCTGATTCAGTACTCTTTTCCATGTCACTCGTCAAGTTGTCAAAGCCAGGTTGACATTGAAAAGTTCATTATCCAGCTCCATCCACAGCTTTCGATTTCGGGCAGTCAAAGTGACACGTTTCTCTGTCACAGTAACCACTCGTTGACCTTTATGATGGTGAGTGCTTTGCGCAGTGGACCAAAACCATATCTGTGACTGGCAAGTCTCAGTCTGATGAACGGACAATAAGGCAAAGGCAATCAGGAAGCATTGAATAGCTACGTTGTACAGTCAAGGTGGGTAGCAAGGTGGATATTTCACTGAACAAGGGACTATTATAACAGTAAAGCTACTGCATATATCACAGCCTGCTCAATGTTTTGACATATAAATATGGTACGTCTGCTGTTGGTGCATATGGTGAAATATTTTGGGGTGTACTGGTCTAAAAGTTATTTCAGCTCAAAAGGAAATTAGTGACATTTTCCTTTTGACATGTAAAAAATGTGGCATATTGCCCAAAGTCTCTTTAAAGTTTAATAAGGTTGTAAGTTTTGTGTTATACTTTATCTCAACAGATATGGAATATGAGAATAAAGCTAATAGACTCTGTCTGTCTTTGAGTCCTCATTTGATGTGCATATGTAATGACTTTGTACTGGCGCAGTCTGTCAGTCTTATTTCATTAAAGGGCTGCTATATCAGGCGCTGTTCTAATGACTTAGATGCACTGGCAGTAATAGTAAGAAGCTGAACTCTTTTCTCTCGCCCTTTTATCATGTGATTTGTTCACTTCTTTTCTCTGTCGTGTTCTAATGTTACCATGTCCTTTTAATTTGTCTCTCTTGATCTCTTTATGTCCTTTTTTTTGCTTACATTGGACAGATCTATCTACGTTTTCTGGAATATGAGATGGCAAATTCCAACGAATGCAAGCGCAATTTTGTGGCAGTTTATGACGGTGGCAGGTGGGACATTTTTAATATCTTTAGACCATTGTCTCTGTAAAAGACTGAAACCTTGTGATTCCAATAGAATTTATATAACTTTATTAGGTTAAAGAGTAAGTAAACACTGCTTTCACCTCTCATGGATGACATAAAGGTAAAAAACTGAACCAAACAAAAGTTTAAAAAGAATCAAATCACTATTACTGTTGCTATTACTGTTATCATTCATGTTTCTACTGATCGAGAGAAAATTCACACTGGTGTTTCAAGGTTTGTTAAAAAGCCTGTTTAATTATCTAAGAAAACATCTAAGAGAGGCAAAGATTTAAGGATTTGTAGGTTTGAGTGCTTCCCTAATTTGTCTAAGAACAAGAGATCTGTAATAATAATGAACTTCAAAGACTATCCAGGATTAGTATACTGGTAAAGATGTAAGAGCGAGGTATGCTGGAAAATCAATTAAAACACATATTTTTTTTAAGAACTACATGCTTTACAGATTAGTTTATTTTTCCACTTAAGTTATTAATCGAGCTATATTTAACTGAAATCAGAATTAATTGGATTTTTCCTAACTAGGCAGCATGGACAGAGATCAAATTATGTGAATTCAAACTGTATATATCAATTCATTTAGATTAATATAATCAAACTGAACCAACTAGAGGTCATAAAGGAAGCCATGATCATTTATCAGCATCCAAAGGACTCGCCCACACAGCATGATGTTACTTTAACCACCATCGGTAACAATGAAAACTAGTGTGGGGGACATGGATGCAAGGGGGAAAGAGTTCCTCAGTGAATCAGCATTTTGATAAAGATCATGTATACAAGCCACACAGATGAAAATGTACTGGCTTGACAGTGAATTGTGTATTTAAAATAAATAATTATGTAGTTCTTGACAGGAAAACACCGGCTTGGTTCAACAGGGAAGTGTCAGAATGCCTGTGAATTACTTTCCATTATACAGTATTGAAAATCCCAAGTTTGTACCTTGATCCAATAGTGGGTTTTTAAAAAATGCCTTTTTCCTTTCAGTCAGACTTCCTCTTAAGGGGTATTGGCTAAAACCTTCTAGTCAGCGAGCAGGACTGATGTGCAGATCTTACAGCCATGTGATACTGAGCTCACTGAAGTAGATGAAAAATTTTGACATTTTAGCTGAATTTGTTTAATTGCATTCTTACTTCATCTGGCTTTAAGTCTTGAGTGCAAATATGATCTAGTTGAAGTATTGCATATGCAGGTGTGTATTCTCAAACTCTCAACTGGTTTGCAAAATGTGAAGTTTAATTAAAACCCGCTAGAGGATCTGGTTACCTGCAAAGTGAGTCATCAGACATCATTTTCTTATATAATAAACTACAGCTACTGACTAATACTTCACTTTTTATGAAAAGTGTTGGTGCCATTATCTCAATTTTAGCTCAGAGGTTTTAGCATGCACCCCACACATTTCTTATCTGCTTTGATAAATAACCTATTCTTCATCTTAAGATGAAATATTAAATTCTTGATTTAAGATAACACTACGCGATGTGATAAGATATATGGTTGTAATTGAGCTCTTATCTACAATAAGTATGAAAATAGATAGGAGTCTTAACACAGGGCAGAACAGAAACAGCATCCACGGCTCTTAAGAGACTCTGTGATGGATATAGAGATACATGGCATATGTATTCTTATCTTTTTCTGTCTTGTTCCAGTTCGGTGGAAGACCTGAAAAGCAAGTTCTGTTCCACGGTGGCCAACGACATCATGCTGGTCTCTACGCTCGGAGTGGTGCGCATGTGGGCAGATGAGCTGAGCCGCAAAAGCCGCTTCCGCATCCTTTTCACAACCTATCACGAACGTAAGAAAGATGCCTCCATCAGTGTTTATGTGCTGTGATATAGAGACAAAGTAAAGGAAAGTCAAACAGGGAGTAAAGTAAAGGTTTTACAGTTTAACTCCCTGCAAATAGGAAACCAGGGATCACAAATTCCAGCTAAAGGAATGTTGCCTGTGGGTGCTTGTGAAAGTGACATATGGTGTAAGTTGCAGTATAGCCCTTGCCGTACTAGCGCAGCTGGGGGAAAGACATTGTGACTAACTCCTTCTAAGACAAAAGAGCAGAGCCAAAAACAATTCCACAGTGATGTGCAGTTTGTGTGTATCTCCCCAAACCAAACACCCGAAAGTACACAGTCTGTCTTCCATGTTCTCACTCACTGATGGAGCTCCAGGCTGGACTTTGAACCAGTGAGAGTGATTGAAGGCTTGTAAGCGCAGAGCATGTCAACGAAAGTGAGGGCTCTTTTAATAGCGTAGAAGTACTAATAAGTGCATGAAGTATCACACCATTTGCTACATTCTGCATATTTGGAAGTTGACCTGTATCACGAGAGAATCAGGCAAAAACTAAAACTATAAAGTTCTGCCCAACGCTTTCAGTCACATATGTTTGATTGGAGATGCTGGGAATTAACAGGAAGGAATAATACCTTTTGCATGTAAAATAAACCAGAGAAGCCTGAGCATGAATTTTTTTATACCGGCGACCTGCCTATGCCAGTGCTGCTTGTTTGTTGTTGTAATTAGACTGGTGCCTTAATCAGTGGAGATGGCAGCCGTGGCAGCAAAGGTGTTTATGCTTATATGTGAAGTCAGTGTCTGTTTTGTAAGGCCTTTTCACCAAGCAGAGCGAGGATGTGCTGTTGCTGGGGCAACGCTTCTGCCTAAGTCATTCAGGCGATCCCCAGCCAGACCTCAGCCTTTAAAGCAGCATCCACAACAGCTCAACAGCTCTGCACCAGCCCTGTCAACAGTGGATGCACAGATGTGCCAGAGCTCTAGTAAGAGAACGCAGCAGAGCAAGTAATTCAGTCCACCATTAGGTCTTTACTTTCTTCACTCGGAGATAAACTTTTCCTGAAATGTGCTTCATTGGTTTCTCGATGAAACCTTCCATAAGTTTAAAATACGCCCTTAAATAAATTATTATTATTTGCAAAAAAGCAAAAGTAACCAAAGTTGCAAGTTAATTTGTGAAATCGGAAAACTCATGTATAAGTATCTGTAACCACCAAAAGTGAGCATGTCTGACTCTGTTACAGGTGCATGCAGCTGGATTTTAGCTTGTGGGAAAAACATTTCATGATAAGCGTTCCCCAGTTGCCCCTTGATCCTTAACCTCATGTTTCTCATGTTTGCACCCAGTGGAACCAGCAGCTCATTGAGAATTATTCACAGCTTTGGACTCCCAGTGAGTTGCTCCTGTGTGGAGAGCAATGTTGCCAAACACAAACCTCCACCTTCATCATCTGTGCAGTGTCTGCTGACACAACTGCTCTGTTTCTAACCTCACACACACACACACACACACACACTCACGCTGAGCACTACAGTGCAGACTTACAGTCTGCAATTACAAATGTGACACATAAGAAAGTGAAATCCAGCTTTGCTCAAGAAGCAATTATGTCTTATGTGATAAATGTGTCCGTGCAACATCTCCGCTGTCAGCATTGTTACACCTCATCTACAACACGTCTCTGGGGTTGCAGATGGAAATTTTCTCAGGCTTCACTACACACATCACTTCTTGTTTCTTCCAAATAGTTTTTACTGTGTTCATAGAAGCATCAGAGAACAATGCTCATGTATTTTAGGGAAGGGATCTTTACTTGCTCTCAAATAGATTGATCGTTTTGTCTTTCCACATTGTACTGAAAATCAGATAAGGTTATGTGTGTTTTATGATTAGTTGAAAAAAAAAAGTAGAGACCTTAAATACAAATGTTCCCAGTGTATCACACTACTAGCACAGTGTGACATCCATGCTAATGGACACAGCCATGAGGAGGCTGTGAAACAAGCACTAACCTGTTGAAGTTGTTAAATTCCACAACTTAAAAAATCAAAAAGACCATCATGCTTTTCAGGAGATCCCACAGGAACCTCCTAACTAGACAAAGTAGGGAAATATTATTCAGGGAAGTGTCTCCACATCAGAGCAAACATGATTTTTAATAAGCCTCACAGTCCTCTTAACCAAGTGCTTTCACATGTGGGACATTAATTCAACTCTGAAATAGACAGCGGTTTATTTAGTGTGTGTGTGTTTGTTTGCAGACTTGCAACCACTATGGTTGGATATAAAATACACTCTGTACACAAAGCCACTGTCTCTTAAATGGACCCCACTTTTTTTCAACAGAACAATACTACATAAATACATTTTCTCTCTTCTTGTTTGTGTTTAGATTAGAACAGTCTTTGTAAATCATCAGTCATGATTATCACATCTACTTTAGAGGTTTTCATTGACTTCTTGAACAAATGACCCATTAACATTGATCTTGAGTCACATCAGGATTTCGTGGATTCTTCTTTTTTTCCCCATGTTTCACCTCTTTACTCTAAGTTTTATGAATTTGAGCTTTTTAGTTTTCCTTGCTTCTTTCTGAAACCCAAAGCAAGGAGTCAATTATTCAATAATCTTGGAACAGCAATGTTGTGCAGTTATCATACATACTACCCACACAGGCCATGGTGGAGGAGAAGAAGAACCAGCATTTAAAGTCTGTACAGTGGCAAAAGAATTACATTATTGTGAATACCCAAATAATGACAGGCCTTATTCATTTTAGGATGACTAAACTCTTGTTATAATAAAAGTTAATCTACGATAATTATGCACATGATAAAAAGTCATGATTGTAACCAGGTGCAACACTGCAGCAAAATGAGCACAACTGCAGAGAAACCAAGACGATATTTCCTTCAGCTGCTCATTGAGGAGTTATTTTAGGCTTCAAGTTGTGACTGAACATTTCTGTGTGGGCAAAAGGGCATTTCATAAAGAATGTCTTGAAATTAATTTTCTGGAGATTAGAGTGAATCGTATTCTTTAATAACATCTGGTCTCATTCTTTGGAGAGTTGAGGAGAACGGGAGGTTTCAGTGCAAAAGGAGACGGGAAGCCACCACCCTCTGGTGGCTGTTTGCAGAAAATCAGCTGCCCGACTTTTTTGGTCAACTGTGCGCTCTGCTGGCATAAAAAGAATGAGAAAGAGAAGTAGTGTTTTGGAAAGAAAAATGAGAAGACACATATCAGAGCATACACACAGAGGCTGATGTATGCAGGAAATGCTGGCAAAGTGGCCGAGAAAGAAAGGTAAACAAGAGAGATAGAGATAAGTCAGTCTGCTTCAGTGTCTTATTGTTCACTTGAGATGAAAGCCGGACTAATAACAGCCATACGTCACCGTGGAAATACTGTCAAAGACTCCTTAGCTCTGCCATTCCACTGCCGACTAACAATAGCGGTTCTGTGTGGGAGTGTGGAGAAAATTAAAGATAAAAGAGAGACATAATGAGACCCCAAGAACGAAAGTAGGGAAGGAGATCTCCTCATTAACAGTCAGCCGGCATCTAAACAGGACCGTGCATTGTGGTCTCCTGTCAGCACTATGTTGGAACATTCATAAATTGAGAGTGAGGTTCAACCGGGACCTTGGAGTTTTCTTCTTGTGTCTGCGTGGGTTGTCTCTTGGTTGTTCAACCCCCCCGTCACCTAAATAATAAGCGGGATAGAAATTGAATGGATGGACTTTTGTTAAAAGACGAGCGCATGAAGTAATAAGCTCTTGAACTGAATCCCAACTTGAATTTGCATGTTCTCCATATGTATTTAGGGGTAATCTCAGGATACTCTGACTTCTTCCGCCCATCCAAAACATGCATCAAGTTGATTGGTGACGAACTGTTCATGGAATTGAGTTTAAGCATGTATGATCTAAGCGGTAGAGAAAATGGATGGATGGATGGAAAGTACTCACAAAATACTTCCTTCACTGCATACATGTGCACATCCTAACTTGGAGTCATGGTCGAATGCAACTGGGACATTATTTCTTCTCTTTATTTTCTGCAAATGTTTGAGTTAAAGGGTGAAAAAAAATCAGAGTAACAGACTGAGGGAAAACTGCTCTAATTGGAGAACTGTTCATTAATATTTTCTTCCTTTAAACCTGAAATACTGACTTCAAATACTGCAGCATGTGTGAATGTCCCTCAGAGTAAAAGTTAGATTCATGGGAATCTATGTAACCCTGTCTATGTGTAATAGTGGTGGATTTTTATCATTTAAAATAAAGTAGTGTCATGGTTAATTTATGTTCTCTAACCTTAGTGTCATAATTCTGCTTTTTTTTTCTTTTAGCTCCGTGTGATGCCGATGCCTTCTTTTGTCACAGTAACATGTGCATAAACTACACGCTGGTGTGTAACGGCATTCAGAACTGTGTCTACCCATGGGATGAGAACCAATGTAAAGGTGAGGCCACTAATCTGAACCCTTACCTCCTCTGGGTTCAGTATTTCTTTGTTTTCAAAGCCTGGTCACAGTACCACAATCAGAGAGAATGTGCTGAAAGTTTCAGCACCATGGACAGCAACCACAAAAGTCATTCCCACGCCTCTGAAGAGAAACCGGATATAACCTATTATGTTTGCATATTTGTTGAATTACGGCACCATGTTAATAAGAGCTGAAGCATGTGAATAGGGAATATTTAGTGGCTTTGTTGTTTATACCTATGAAATACAATCCTTTTTCTGTCTAACATCAAGAAAAACTATCAAGTTCTTCCAATCTGTTTTCAGCTATACGCTGATGTTAATTTTTACCATTAGTACCTCAACTTTAGATAATTTCTCCTCAGAGATCAATAAAGTATTCAATCAATCAATCAATCAATCAATCAATCAATTTATGAAATAGAAGGAAAAAATGTGTAAAATACTACCTTTGCACTGTAATAACAATATTAGAATACAATAGTGAATTACTACATTAAAAAAACATTTTTGTCATAGATTAGGGGTAGCCCTTCAAGAATATATCCTTTGCTAATTAAGTTAAGGTATATCCTTACCTAAGTAAGGATACGTTCCTTTTTCTGCTGAACTAAAACTTATTGCACTCTTTGGATAGCAATAATTTTTGACAGTATTCCCCCTTTAGCTCAATATTGTTCAGTGTAATAGTCCTTTAATAATTTTATTCAGATGTAAGACTAACAATAAAATTAGACTCATAAATAATAATTTTACTGTCTTCCAACTTGTAAGCTTTTGGACATTTATTTATTTTATCTTCCAGCCGGTTTTATATTCTTAAAGCATAAAAGGTCATTTGTATTTCAGAATCTTTAGATGCCACCAGGTTATTTGTATTCTGTAAAGATACTGGATTCATGTATTGATTGTCTTCTCAAGGTGCCACTGAGAGCTCAACAATTTAAACCTCTGAATTAAGTCTTCATCGTTACATTATTGGATTGTGTTCAATTAATGAACAGGGAAAATACAGAGATAAATACAACTGTTTCCTGTAGGTGCACTGTGATGTTTTACTTTAGTAAATTAAAGTAAGCCCAGTGATTTTCCATCCCACAATTCCAATTCCAAAAAGTCAAGAAAAAGAGGCTGTGTCTCCTGCCTTTTTTCTTCTTTTTCTCTGCTCTGCTAATGCACAGAGCCCACATTTGTCCTCATTATTTGTAAAATGTCATGTATTTTTTCACACTTTTTTCTTTACATGGGTGAATGCAACCATTTACTGTCACTGAAGCTTAGCGCACTGTGCTACAAGTCCATCCAGCATGTAAATGTCACAGATCCGCTCACAGACTTGATTTCCACTCAGTGTTTGTCTGGGCTGCGCTTTATAGATTAATAGGGGATAAATAGACAAGAAATGTAATCCGATCTGACCTTTCTATCCATGTTCAAAGCATATGGGATTCATCTTTTCATCTTCTAGACAATAAGGTCCATTTATTAGAAGTTATCGTCTGTGAATCGCTACAGTTTCTCATTTTATTTGCTGTTGTGAAGGAGATATGTGAGCACTTTTTACCTGGAAAGGAGAGAACATATTGCCTTTGGAAATCAATGCTGTCAAGTCTGCCTTTTCTTGGGTGCACACTGGTCCTGCTGTTTGTTTGTTTTTTCAAAAGAGATTCTGCATCAAAGTCCTTTGTTTTTACATTCACAAAATGCTACAAGGTGGAAAAGCTAACTTCATTTGGACGGAAAAATGTGGACTATTTGCTCTAAAATACTGGAGTTTGTAGAATTTGAACAAACATCATGGTCTACTTTGATGAAAACTGAAAAACAAAAAGATCAGCTAAATTACTTACTACACCAATTCCTTCTTCTCAAATGAAATTCTCCCACATTGTTCAATTAAAGTTCTGTAAATTGTGTGGGAGTGTACATATATAAAGTTAAAATTGCTTAAGATTAGAAGGATTTCCCCCAAGCCAAGATTAATGTGAGGGATGAGTCTGAAGGGCATCCAGTTTAAATATTCTCTAAAGAAAACAGTTTCATGATCATCTTCTCCCTGGGGAAAACATAAGTCAACAATCAAGCACGATCAACTGTCAATTAACTAGAAATAGTCCTGAATATCGGCTATTTCTCACTCTGAAAGTCTTTCTTATTTCTAGGTCCAAGGCATCTCATTTGCCATTTCTTTTGCTCTTTCCAGAGAAAACTAATACCAAATTCCTGGACAACCTGAACACCATTAACGGGGCCATCATTGGCGTCACCTGTTGCATCGTCTTCATCCTGCTGATCGTGTCTGTCGTCGTCCAGATCAAGCAGCCCCGCAAGAAGTACATCTTGCGGCGCGAGGACTTTGACCCCACCATGTTTCAGGAGGTCTTCGAGCCCCCCCACTACGAGCTGTGCACTCTGCGGAGCGCCGCCGCGCCCGCGGCAGCCTCGGCCGACCTGGTGGACCTGGCCGAGGACCTGGAAAACTACCACGCCCTCCGCAGCGCCTCCTCCCGCTGCGTCTACGACCACCACTGTGGCTCGTCCTCCAACCCCGGCTCGGCGCACGTGTCCCAGCTGTCCCTGGCGGGACGCGGCAGCCGCTGCAACCTGAGCGGCCGCGACCCGGCGGCCGGCCCCCTGCTCACGGACCTCCCGCAGCCCCCCATGGCCGTGCGGCCCCTGCTGCCCGCCGCGGGGAACCGCCGAAGCATCCTGGTCATGAAGCACAGCTACTCACAGGAGGCAGCGGATAACGGGTGCGACCTGGACGACGACATGGAAGAAGTCCCCACCACCAGCCACCGGCTTTCACGCCACGAAAAGGCAGTACAGCGGTCAGTATCTTTAGATTTCTGATGAGGGGAAGAACAGCAACCCTAGAATTGATAACAGGGATGTTTAATAAGTAGAAGAGATATTTATATATCTATTTTTGTGTTCTTATTTTAGCTTTCCTCTCATTTTTGTCATGATTATGGTCTTGGTTTTTTTTCTTTTTTTGGTTTACCCTTTTTTACCATTACAAATTTTCACAAAGGGCTAAAAAAATTGTAGAAAGAGTTAAATATGTCCATTCCTCCCTGCTTATTTCTAAACATGTTAACTGCCCAACTAGCTCTCCATGAGTGCTGATTTATAGTTTAACGATTTTTATTAAAGTTCCTCCATGCTGTGAGGTTCGTCAGAGATCTTTAGGAATATGCAGACTTCATTCAAACAAATTCAGTCTGTGACAGACTCTTCACACAAGGGCTTCAATCAGTGCCTCAAGATAACTGATTTCCTTTACGTTAATGAAAATGATCAAATATGCATTTGTATTCTAAACTGTGATACTGAAAATATACTGCACATATAGTAGGTCAATATTTTTGGCATGAAGAAAAGTTTTTATATTCTATTGTGTATTTGCACCTTGACTGCTTCGGGGGGGAAAGAAAATTGTGCGTTTACTATGTGAAGGTATCAGGACGTTTTTTGAGAGAAAGCTTAAAATGCAAACTTTCTCTGCATGCACTTTTTGTGCTCCTTTCAGAATGTTCCTGGTTGTGTCCAAATTCTACAAATATGCATGCAAGGCTTTTAAAGTCTATCAAAGCACTAAGGAAGCGTATTGCTTTATGTAGCACATTATACATTCTGACCTCTTTATGTAAAAAGAGTTTGATATTAAATGAAAGAGCCATGACATTTCAGGTTCTGCCTCATTGGCTCTTTGAGCAAACATGAATCAGAGTACAACACAACTAGGGTCTAAGAGACAATCTCAAGGTAAGCACCCTTATCTAACAATCAACATCTATATATGTTGTTGTGTAGTCATCATTTGCCCAGTACGTATATACTTTTATGTAAGTTATTTTCCTTTTTCTTTTTTCTTTTCTGTGACTTTTGCGCGGGCTGATTATTTACTTCATAGTTTTCTTTTTTTATATGTAATTTTGTTTCTGATTTTTGATTGTTCATTTTCACCAAGATGGTCCTCTTGCTTGCAGCCATCTTGACATGTCAGTGAGTTTGTTTAGTGTTTGTGAAACTCAAGTTTACTGTATGTCGTTTTCCCTTAAAGGCATACAAAATTTCACCCTGTGGATTTTCATTTGCATGGACCTCTTTCAGTCATTTTAAGTTTAAGATATTATTAGTAAAAGTATTTAACCTCTTCATGTTTCTTCTTGTAGGACCACAGGTCATTTCTTCCCAACTCAGCTAAAACTCTCTCCTATCTCATGTTATGTCATGGATTTCTTTCCTTATGGTCTCCAAAAACTTCTAAAGCATAATTTCAGCTGTCATTTGGACTTTCAAACCTAATTTTTCTTTTCAGTGTTTTGCATTTCGTAATTTGCACTGAATATTCAGGCAACTTTTAAGAATTTGCAGCTTACTTGTCAGATATTTTTGCAGATATTTTGCTGTCACATTAATAGCAAAGCAATGTTTCTTCACTTGAACGAAAATTCTTTTTTAACTTTTGAAAGATCCTCTTGTTGTATAAATATGGAACCACAATACCTCAACAATGAAGGATTAAAAAAAGAAGAAAGACTCGGCAGTGTTACATATATGCTACTCCGGCTGCCTCCCACTGTCTTAAAACATGCATGTTAGGTTAATTGGACACTCCAAATTGCCCCTAGGAGTGAATGTGAGTTGTTTGTCTCTGTGAGTTCCTGCGATGGACTGGTGAGCTGTCCAGGGTGTACCCTGCCTCTTGCCCGATGTCAGCCTGGATGTACTCCAGCGTCCCACGACCTAGGAATAAGTGGGCTAGAAAATGGATGGATGGACTCCTGTCAAAATAGGAGTGCTTGAAGTAAAATAGCTCTTGGACAGAATCCCAACTAGAGCCCCTCCATGTTGAATTTGCATGTTCTCCAAATGTATGTACGGTCATCTCAGGATACGCTAACTTCCTCCGCCCATCCAAAACATGCACATTAAGTTGATTTGTGACTAACTGTCCGTGGGATTGAGTGTAAGCGTGTACGCTCGTTGTGATTCATTTGGTTATTGTAGTCTGCAATGACTGCTAAGCTGCAAATTAATCTTTGGATGCACAGTGCAAATCATCTTCGGAATGATTAGACTGGATTAAGCAAAAGTGAATTCATAAACTCTATACTTTTTAGCAGGGTCTAGGCTTAACAGAGCCCAGGTTTTTCTGATTACATTTTACTGTGAAATCTGGGACACAAAGTGGGAGTGTCTGTTGAGTTGGAATGGACTAACCTTACAAAAAAGTCTTGATGATTGCAGTAAAAACACTTATCGAGTCCGAACAAAGCACAGAAGTGAAAGCAAGCATAAATCCACATTCTTTCACAAAATCACATCACATGTTTGTTTTTTTTCACACGCAAGAGAAAGCACACAGAAATCGCACTCCACAGTTACACAGACGTCCTCTGTTGATCTGCATGTTTTATCAGATTTTGTTTTATATTAAAAACCAAGCATAGTATTTATGCCTGTGTGTAACATTTTATGTGCCAAAGCTCTGTGACAGTGCTTTCATGAAGTTGCAAAGATGCATTTGGTAGGTGAGATGATTAAATATGAATATATTTTATATGAATTTAGTCTTATTTTGATCGGTCCCTTAAAAGCTGAAACACAAAGCCGATCGCGACTGCAGCTTCATGCTAGCATGTGATGGAGCTGCCACATCAAGTGCTACGCTTTGTTTTGTCCTGTAGTGTGAAAACTGTGCTTTCCTGATATGTGTGTGTCTGCTCATGTTCTGCATTATGTTGCATTGTCTCCATCATGTAGACTTCTTGAGAATAGTGCTATCCTGGATCAGTATGAACGGGCGTCACTGACTTATGAAAAAGCGGAGCGGAGATTCACACCAGCATGATGCTGATGATGAAGGGACACTGGTGTATTCATGTGGAAAGATGACGTTAAAGGACTTAGAAGAATAGACTCCAGCATCAACGCTGTGAAGAGGAGAGGTTTTGAGTATCAGTCAGCTCTGTATGCAACTTAGTTTAGTCATCCCAGATGTTTTGTCTCACTGTAAAGATATGGGCCCTCATAAGACATGGTCATTGAATTCAAGATTTGGGATGTTACAAGCATATCTGTCATAGCCATAAATTCCTAGCAACACATTGATTTTATTTGATGCAGCATTTATGACATTATTGTTATGATTTTGATAGATGTTTTCATGTAGTCGAATGTAGAAAGTTTAATTCTGATGAAAATTGAAAAGCTGATTACTAACCTCATTGAATTCAATGGAAAATACTGTTGGATAATCAGAAATATTTTGGTTTAAATAACGATTCAAGTATGAGTTGTTTGGATTGTGCATGTTTCCTCCACATAAAGCATTAACATATTAACATAAGCATATAAAAAAGAAGAGACAAGGCTTTATTAATACATTACATGGACAAAAGATGGGATTTAAGGTCATCTTCCTTGGATTAATTGCACTGCATGTGTTTGCTTAGCTAAATTATTACCTATCATTTCTCAAATAAAATTCCACCATATTAATTTAAATATGTTGACTAACCTTTTGACTAGCATTTTTACTTTAACTGAGAGTATTTGCTTCTTTTAGACAAAACCAACTCCAACTGACTTCTCTTTTAATGTAGGAGTTCAACATCTTTGTATTGACTCAGACTTTTATATTAAGGCAAAAGGAAAGTATGACTATTTTTACTGTCACTAGTAATCTTTCAGGGCTGATTTTACTGATGCTTTTAAAATAAACGCCTATGAAGCTTCACCTTTTTTCTTCGATTTATTGGCTTTTAGTGATGACCTCCACAACTTTTATTTCTGCCTCCCAATCATACGTTCTTAGATGCATCTTTGTATGTTGTGACCTTTATCAGAGCCACATCAGAAAGGTTTTTGACGTCCTGTCCTTCAGTCCAAGCTTGTTAAAACTGTCACAGGTAACTGATGGAGTCAAAAGACTTTCAGAATTTGTCCTGATGACATGAACAGAGGAAACAGACTTGCACTCTAATAACACTCCAGATAGGCTGGTTGATTATCAATAATGTCACAGTTATCGACAGCTGTAGCTGCACCTCTCAGTTAAACTTTATCTGTTACAGAAAATATCATGAATTGAGAAAGCTTATATATATATACACACATGCATACACACAACATTTACAGACATACTATGTGAGTTTTAGTTAAGACACATAGATCAAATTTTGTCGATATTGGTGAAAAAATCAACACATCTTAATGCACATTACAAAAGCTTACGGTAGAGCGCAACTACATCAATGCACACTATTACCACATCGCTGTGTGTCTGCTTTCTTACACCTGTGTGATTGTCTGAATATGCTTTGGTTTGTTATTGTCAACATTTCATTTGCATTTGCCATCTAATATATGGACATTATTTTACCATTTCCAGCGTCAAGTGTTGTAAGTATTATTTATTTTGTGCTCTCCTCTCTTTCCTCCTTCATTATACACAGTCGTGCACAAACATGTGACAGATAAAATGTGTTTCATAACTGTTACACACATTATACCAACTTTTCTTTGTTTTCTCTCAAACACTTGCAGAATTGTAAAATTGCTCAGTACAGCTAGCACAGATACTCATCCCCTTCCCACCATCTTTTTCTTCACCACTCCATCTCAAACACACACTCGCATGCACACACAAAGTCATAATCTCATCTGCCGGCTCAGAGATGGAGGCGAAAACGCCACTAATTAAGTAAGTCTGGATCAATTCAATCGTGAGCAGTTGAGGCAGCAGATGAGAAAATGTTCGGGGCCCAGAACAGTCTTACAGTAATGCCTTTTTCATTTCTCTGCAGATACATCAGACAGATGCATCATTCCTCTGCATCTTGGCAAGTTTGACTGCATTCGGAGCTATGGTTTCTCTCCCATGTGTACCTTGAATGAGCTGTTGCCCTGAGTATTTTACCAATGTAGTGTTGTGACAAGAAATTTCTTCTACTTTTTTTTAGCTTTTTGCTTATTTTCATTTCTTGATGAAGTTTTTCTTCTTTGCTTGGATGATAAAGGTGCACCATTCTCACAGTGAAATTCTCCACACCTGGCTGTGGTTGCCGTGGAGCACTTGATCATTTTAGATGGAAGACTGAAAGTTTGAATTATTAAGAACACAGTACCTTTAATGTAAAGATGTTGATGGAGAAAAAAAAATCAGGTTTTTAAAAAGTAATTTCCATGAAACCATTCAAACATGAATTTTCATATTTCTGCTGCTCATTCCAGATAGTTTTTTTCCTTTAAAAAAAAATTAATTTACATCTTGTCTCCACAGTAGATAATCAGGTGGATTTTATATTGAAATAATTATGGACGGAACAGAAAACATTGAATCAAGTCCTATTAAAGTTCTTAGATTCCACTGACTGATTCATTAACACTTCATTCAACTATTTTAATAGTCATTTTTTTCTTCCTCTTTATTGTCATAAATCATTGAATCGTAGTTTTGATTTTGTTAGTTTTTCTTTATAGTATTTGGATAATTATTTGATTCAACATTAAAAAATGCTGGACCGAATGTTTTCAATAAACTCAAGTTTACTGATTTCATTGTGATGGCTTACTTTATCCATAAAATGTCTAAACTTCTATTTGAATTTGTTCAGGGCTTTATTGTATTCATTTTCACTGGATATTTCTCAAGTTTAACAGTCTAAGAAAGAAAGTAATAAATATTTTGTATTATAACACACATATTGATGAGAGAAATGTTGTGAAATGTATGTGTACAATGGGAGGTTGAAAGGCATCATCTGCATATTTGTAGATACCTGTCCACTAGTCTACAATAGTCAGAAGTCTGTGAAATTTACTTTTTACTGTCACAGTGAGATAGAGGCCCCATGATTAAGACCTCCAGAAACCTTTTTTTTTATTTTTTCCCACAAAAACAACATTGACAATGCTGGTTTCATTCAATCCGTCACAAAACTTTGAGATAGAAGTTCTTTAAAATGTTCCCTCATCAAGTGTTCACTTTCAAACTAAATGCAAGACAATGCTAGTTTAGTGAGGTTTTTACAGGGAATTTATCATTTATATAGAAGTTTTTTGATTCATGCATTTTCATTAGCTTTACATTTATATTGGTATGGAAGTCTATGAAATAATGATGAGACACATGGGAAGGGTAAACTGAAACAACCTCTAGAATCTTTAAAAATAAACTTTTTAGATGAATATTATTAGATATACGTTGTGAAGACACAGAGACAATATGTTGAAAACAATGTTGGAGAATGTGTTTGGGTTTTTTTATTATTTATTTATTTTTATTAGCTGTCTGGGATCTCTCTGCATTCCAGTTCTTTAAGTGGCGGTATTGCACTTGCAAGCTGATCTGCATGCTTCATCAAAAGCCACGCGAAGAAGAAATAACACCAGTCGTCGTAGAAGAAGAAAGAAATGACGTCAAAATAATGCGCCCTGCCGCAGCAGTCTGTTGACAGACCTCTTGTCTCAAAGGTCTCAGCAGATTTATGATACAGTTATGTATTTACTTTTATAGCAAATTGTCAGAACGTCAGGTGGTGTAGTTTCTGCAGCTGAACAATCACGAACTCCCGGAAGTAATGATGGCTTACATGCAGATTTTGAACGCCTTGCACAGAAACCTGCAACACAAAGCGACGCTGGTCTCTTTGCAGAAATGTAAACTTGTTCATGTCGACTTGCTCGTCCACACGCGGAGGACAGCGTCAACAATAGCGAAACGGAGCGTGCTCAAAACACAACCTGCGTCATTCGCACAGACAAGGAGTAGTATTTATGTGGATTTTACAGCCAGAAACAGAAGCAGCCCCGAGGACAGAGACAAGTCAGTGTCCAGGTATCAGAGTGGGAGCCCCAAGCTTTCAGCAGCACAGAAAGGTATGCGAAGAAAACACGCATATAAACCTACGCAAAAGATTTTTTTTAAATATGTTTTACACAGCTGACAAAATGGTTGTCGTGTTTCTGTTTTTTTAACATAAATTAAATTAAAAAAAATTGTGTGAAAATGTATCGCTGAGGCGAATCTGTATTTTTCCCAGGAGCTCTTGCTGCTCCGAGCTAACTGCTTAATCTTTTTAAATGTCTTCCAGTAAAAGATGCAGGGAGAGACTTCACCTACTTGATTGTTGTTCTCATCGGACTTGGAGTTACAGGTGAGGCAGTTGATTTCAAGAAAATCCAAGCATAGCTACCACAAATTAATTAATGATGCAATTACAAAAGAAAAGAACAAAAACAAGTATACTCTCATATGTAGATATGTATGTATATATATATAATATATTTGATATATAATACATATAATATATTTTATATATATGTATATATGTATATATATATATATATTTATTTATTTATTTATTTTGCTAGGTGGGCTGTTATATGTGGTGTTCCAGGAGCTATTTTCCTCATCAAGCCCAAATAAAGTTTATGGGAAAGCCTTTGATAAAGTTAAATCCCACCCAGAGGTAAGACTTGACACTGTAAATTTCTAAGAAACACACTGGCTCTGTTTCTGGTTACACACTGTGGGACCTTTTCTGTCAGTCCATTTTAGTGCCCATTTTTCCTCATTGAGTGCAGGTGATTGGTGCATTTGGCGAGCCAATCAAGTGCTATGGTGAGACCACCCGACAAGGACGGAGGCAGCAAGTCAGGTGGGGGTCACATTTAAGCAAGTCTTTAGTCAGTACAGATGTCTCCTGTATTGCTAATGTCATTATCACGCTGCTGATCATGCTGAATAATGAAAGAGGAAACACATAATTAATGTGTCAAAAAGAGGATAATCAGGAAACAATGTGAGCTTGCATTTTTAGAAGTGTTTTTAAAACTTTAAACTATGAAATAGTGAAGAAGTAAAGCAAATTCTGAAAATGTAATTAAAGGAGTTTATGACAGTATAAAAGTTTTATACCCTGGATGTGGGTACATTCAGTCAAATGTTTAGGTCATATTAAAAGGTGCTGGTTTAACTGGGGCATTATGGGAATTTTTCTTTTGTTTACTTCCTCTTCAGTCACATGGAGTACCTGAAGGATGGACTGAAGCATATGAGACTTAAGTTTTACATTGAAGGTTCAGAGCCAGGCCTCAAAGGAACTGTACATACAGAGTCAAAAGAGGTGGGTATTTGCCTGATTTTGAAAGATAGCACCAAAAGTTAGAAAGTTAAGTTATTCTCATAGTTATGAGTGCTCTCCCGTGTGACAGAAGAAGCTGAATTTAGACAGGAGAGGATTAAAAACTTCTACATTTTAATTATTTATTTCTGAACAAAGGAATTAAGTTTTTTTATAACTCAAGTTTCTTTGTTGCCCTTCAGAACCCTGAAACTGGAAAATATGAGTTTCGTTATATATTTGTGGAGGTGGACACCTACCCCAGGCGGACTATCATTGTGGAAGATGATAGATGAGCCATCTGCCAACTCACTGACTCAGCATTATGAACATGAACGGCTGCATTTTGAAAATCTGAGGAGCAGGATTTGTGTGACTGGATGAAATACATTTTCTAAATTCTAACTGCTCGAAATAATTTGACAAAACACAACAATGGTTAGTAGGAAAGTCTGCGTCCCAGATGTGAAATTCGAATTTGTCAGTTTTGTGCGGTGTATTCAGAAATTAATCAAATGTGCTGAAATTTGATTTGTTTTTAAATAAACCAATGTTTCTAACCTTGAATGAGAGATGATTTTGTGTCATGGTCAGGATCAGAGATGCAACAACAACAAAACATACTTACAGTTAACAGGAATGTTTATCTTACAACATTTTATATATTGAAAACAGTGAAGATGTGATCCATTGCTCTGTGTATGTGTGCGTCCAATTGTACATGGCATCACTTTATAAAACCATGACCACCAGATGGAGGCAAAGAATTGGAAGAATAAGCAAAAAACAGTTTTTGGAAGATCTTTAACACTCACATCAGTAGAAAGCTAAAAAACTATTTTAAATATAATTTGAAACTGGCAAAGCTGAGCCTCTGCTAAATGAATATCACAATATAAGAACATTCTCATTTGATAAAATTGTGTAACCTTTTGCTTTTTTCTCAATTTGAATTTGCTGTCTTTTTTCTTTTTGTTTACGAAAACATCACCTGACACAACACAAACGAATTTAATGTGTGTGTGTGTGACTTTATTCTATATGTGGGATGCTATTTGCGTTGTTAGTTGTGGTGTTTCGTTGTAGAAGATCATACTCTTACCAAACTGAAAGAGAGATATCAGCTTAGTTTTATATGTATCATAAAATATTAGTAACTAGAGTTAATAACAGGAATACTCACTGTTGTATTGTTGTGGCGTCTTTTTGGTTTATTTTGGTTAATTTTACAAACGTGAGAAATTTGCAAAGTAACGCTGCATAATTTAACGAAAATAGACTTGCCTTAAATATAATAGGAACTATTTGCAGTTGCATAATTCCTATCCGATCACATAACCTCAATTTAACTTTTTAAAAATAGTTTTTCTAAATTACTTTTGGTCCTTCTTACCTGAACCTCTTGTTGATGCTGCCTTCGGGGAACCTCGGAATTATTCTCTCATGTTAATGGATCATTATGCCCATAGCAATGAATACCAAATATATAATACCAAAATATTTATTTTGTTAAAGCTACCTTTCTAAAAGTGTTGAACACGTTAAGACTAGTTGTAAACTGATATATTAGCATCTTATTCATGTGGCAGTTATAAACTTTAGTTGAAAATATATATATGTCGTATTTGGCTGCCATAACTTTCCGATTATCATCTTACTAGATGAATAAATAAGAATACCACTTTGATCTAACGTAAAACTTTCGAACTGGAAAAAGTAATAGATTTATAGTCATATTGACGTGTTCATTTGAAAGGGAAGCAGCTAACGGGAAGTATGAGAGGAACAGCGGTATGAACACCGCCCACTGAGAAATCCGAAAGCAGCGATGAGCACAAGGATGTGCTTGGTCAGTGCGCGCTAGCTTAAACTCCCCTGGACTAAATAAGTTACTTAAATATTAACTTCCGGGAAAGCCTGTCGAATAATAAACCCACCATATTGTGCAAATCCAAAAGAGGTATGTTTATGAAAAACTGGCTAGTTTTGGTCGTTCTTTAGATCCCGGTGAGGTTCAAATAGCGCTGTTGTTGTTTTGGCCTGCTACTCGTTATCTTAGCTAAACTAGCTACAGCATCATCTGACTCCCGGAGGTTCCCTCTCGTTCTCTAAAGTGTTGGAAGAAATGGCACACTTTACCAGCTAACTCGGAAAGGACGATTTTGTCGCTATAAAGTAAGTTTGTTCCATTGCTGCTTTGTTTAAATGAGCTAAACGGAAGCTAATTTGAGGAAAGAGCTGTGGTGTTAAAGTTATCGCCTGTTCTTATTTGGTTCAAGAGCACAACCAAAAGCTTCTTTTTAAACGTTAGCTTATGTAATTCCTAGCCATGATATTTTAACTTATGTGGTGTAAAATTAACCGACTTGTTCCGGGCTAAAACAAGACAAATGTTACTGTCTGCAGGGAAAGCTGCGTTTATTGGCCAAGAGTCGGCGAGACGTTCTTCAGTAATGAGACTTCCCTCTCAGTGATTAAAAAGTAAATAAATAAAAGAATGGAACTGTACTGGTACATGTGAGTAGAACCAACTCCTTTCTTCTAATTTTTGAAAGAAATTCATTTCCATGTGGAGATTGACTGATTCTCGTTTGTGGACGACTCCGCCCCCTCCCCCTTTCCCCTTTTACTGTGTCTTTTTTTCACAGAGTTGTCATCATCTTCATCATCATTAAGATCTTCTTCTATGTGTGCTGGTACCGGTCAAGGCAGAGGCAGCTGGCGGCATACCTGAGCAACACACGCAATGCCCAGATAGTCATAGTTGGAGGAAGGGCCTACCTTCATCAGATGTGTGAGAGACAGAGTGTAAGTGCACAGCTCCTCAAGTGCTACGTGTGAAATGTCAACCGCTGTTGTGGCTCTGTGCCTAACCCCGTGTTCATTTATACTGTTTAAAGGTCGTTCCTGTTTTTGTTTTTTTTTTCTAGTAAAAGAGACGTTATGTGCAGAAGCCTGACTATGGTTCCGTACATAAGCAGATTCTAAAGGGTTGTTAGATAATGTCGCGGTGGTGGGACATTTTTTGCGGAGCGGTTGTTTTCACATTCTTGTCTGGAAAATTCTTGCAATTTCCAGTCCTGATCTCTCTCTGACAGACTGCGTTTCACTTTTAACGGCATACCGAGCGAGACTGTGGTTTGCGCATTTATAAGAGTTGTTTGATCTTCTGCCTGACATGTTTCTATATAGTTTGTTTCACGTTGTTGACAGATCTATAAATGCAGGTCTTCACTTTGAAAGCGTGATATTGGGAGTTTTAGGGCTTCACATTCCACTTTATTGGCTCTCTTATCTTTGCTGAAGAACAAAATAATCAACATATTTAAACTTCATACTTACTATCAACATTCAGTTTTCCCATGTGAGGCATCACACAGATGAATCAGAAGTTTAGTTTCATTCTATGCTTAATCTGCTTGATCTTTTGGTTGGTCTGTGTGTCTTGTTTTGGCTGCTCATCTGAACATCTAGAATGACCTTCAGAGTTTGTTTGTTTTTTTTCATTTAAGTTTGGAAATGTTCAGCTTCAGCAAAATGTCAGCACCACATACTGGTTTTGAGATTGCCTTCAAATTGCTATCTTTCCTTTCATTTTTTGCTTTAAACGCTTGCTGAAGGCTGCTGCATTTCTGTTGATGTTTTCAATTATCTATTTCAGAGCAGCCTTCAGTTAACAGAAGTGTATGGAGTCTGCATCACAGAGCCTTTTGCAGCCACAGATGTAGTCTTCGTAATTCACATCCAAACCCTTTCAGCCTTTAGTTTGGCCTAGAGGCTGTTTTCGTGAGAATGAACACATTTTTTCTTCTTTTTAAAAGACAAGTTTGACTCATTTTTAATCTTGGCCCATTTCATCCCCTTATGACTCATTGCCAAAAATGCTCCATGGATGCACTTTCTTTTAAGATATTATTCATTGTAATGGAAATCAGCACAGAGATTGAGTCATTCTCTCCATTCCCATCAGTGCAGTTGCATGTCAGAGGCACAAAAGCTGATATTTTTAGCCTTGTTTGGAATATTTGCGTTCCAGGAAGTGCCCCATTTGCAAAAAGATAATAAATTAGGCTGAAATGCCAGGGTTCTTTAGCCTTGGGCTTATGATGTATTGTCTGTTATCTGAACTATTTGTGAGATTAGAGAGAACACCCAGTCTATCACCAAACTACCAGTGGTGCTTACATCTGAGATGTGTGCACACAGCCTTATTTTATGACATTTCTTTGGCTAAGAATCCCATGCCTCCCCCTGAACTCATCTTTCTTATTTGACTTATAAATATTTTTCATCTTTAGCCTCAAGTTTTCAGTCTCACCTTGCTTCACATGTTTTCTCTCTTCTCCCATTTCTTTTCTTATACCTTTCTGTGTTATATTCTAACCTATTTCCTCCTCTACTGTTTGGTTTTTTCATGCTCCCCATGACTTCAGTGGGCAATGTTCCCTTTTTCAATGTTAATAATATGTTCAGCAGGAAGGCTTCTTGATCATCTATAACCTGGTTTTCTGAAGGCTACCTGGACAAATGCTTAGGAAGCTTGACTAAGTTATATTCACAAAGTCAACCATCATTGTTTAGGTTTGTTGGAAGGATTGATTAATATTTCTCTTGCCTCTCTTTATGTATTTCTTTTTCTCCAACTAACTCAAGATGTTGAATTGGAATTTGGTGTTCCAGTAAATGAAGAATGTATATTGGTTTTGGTGAAAATCAAATGCATTTTAATGTGGTGTTGATCTGCAACACACAAACCTGAAATAATAGAAATGTTCACCATTTGGGGAACCATTGCGTGAGCAAAGCTTAAGAGCAACATTTCTCATCGTACTGTTGGAGGACTCTGGGCATTCTGTCATTTACAGTTCATGATATCATCAAAAGATACACAAAATCAGGAGACATTTCTGCATGTCAGCAGCAAAGCCCAAAACGAAACATTTTAGTGCCTGTGGCCTCTCGCAGGCAGTACCACATTAAAATCTAACAATATTTCGTTCAAGATATTACCATTTGGGCTCAAGAACACTTGGAAAACTGCTGTTGGGTAACGCTGGTCATCGCTATATCTGAAAGTGCAGGAATCCAGATATTAACAACACCCAAAAACCTCACCAGCTGAGCCCTCTGAAATGGGCTGAGTGCAGAGTGGAAAACATGGAAGTCTGAGTCTACTTTTATAATTGTTTTTGGAAGTCATGGACATGATGTTGTCCAGGCCAAAGAAGGAAAGAGACCGCCCAGATTGTTATCAGCACCGAGTTGAAAAGTCAGCCTATGTGATGGTATGGCTTTGTGTCGGTGAAAAAGGTTGAACATGTGGGGCTTTCCGAGCATCTTTTTCAGGGATGAAGAATCTGCTTATTGCAGCCAGGCAGTGCTGAGCCACATTCTGCGTTGGATACAACGGCATGGCTTCTAAATCTGTTTCCTGATGTAAATTTGGTAGATTATGAAGCGCAAAATACAACAGTGCAAACCCTGGACTGTTAAGTGACCTAAGTCACTCTTTAAAGCAGAACAGGGAAGGCTTCCACCAGCAAAGCTTGTTATAAGTTGCTGTTCTCAGCTCCTAAATGCTCGCTGAGGGCTGTTAAAAGGAAAGATGATGTAACACGGTGGTAAACATGTCTCTGTCCCAGCTATTGGTGTGAAGATCAGTAGACTGAATATAGATTGAAAAAGATTTGCAAGTCATATTGTTTGTATTTAATTTGTGCACAACATCTCAATTTCATGGGAATGCACAAAATAATACTCAAGATCTTTTGGTTTACAAATGAAAGCCAAGGTTTGTGAGTACTCCAAACAGACCTGGTGGAGCCATGATTAAAAAGTGAACTAATGATTAACCGACTCGACTTCATTCTCACTTCCGACTTTCTGGTTTCCCTTCTTGAGAAATCTACAGATATAAATGTTCTGTCTTTAAAGCAGTCTTTGGAGTGGTTGACGATCTTTCATTACACTTTGAAGTTGAACGTGGTCTTTGCAGTGTTTGTGTGTACTTTTAGTGTTTGCTGATGTGATGACAGACAGCCGAGGGCCTTTCACTGGTGTAGATCTGATGTCGGTGTGCTACGTTAGAGCTTTTATTCTCAGTTACCAAAACAGCTGTCGCACACAGACCCAAAAAACCCAGAGAAACAACCAGGCCCCAAGATTTTTACTGATGCCCAAGCTTTGTTTTATCTGTTTGTTTGTTTTTTGTTTTTTGTGGTGTTCAATAGGGGGTAATTAAGGCATAACATTTAATAACTCCTATAAGGAATGAGTGCTGGAAGTCATGTGACTCTAGTTGTGCACCTGTTTTGCATTAATTGTTCAGTGATTACATCTTGAACTGTCTGTACTGTATTACTCCTCATCTCTTCCTGTCACATTCACAACAACTGAACGGTGATGAACGGGTGTGTCTGCCTGTAGATTTACCTGCTGACTCTGTCCTCATGCCTGACACCATGCAGCCAGCAAGCCCATCGCTTAATGAGTTGCTCTATCACTGACCGGTGGTGTTTGTTATTCGCTGTCCATCCCTCATGAATTTCCTCTGAAGGCTTCCGTAGGATGCGTGTACTGGCCTGAGGCAGAGAACTCTAAATATTCATTTATTGTTGGAGGAGCAGATGTACAAATCCAGCATTATTACAGCCTTCTCCAGAAACGGGTTCAGGAAAAATCAGCCCAGTTGGTAACCTAATAGTGCATGTCCGTCCGTGCGCGTGCGTGTGTGTGTGTGTTTTACTTTTATGTGCTTCTGCTTTCTGTGCGAGTCATTAACTCCACGTATTTCCTTCCCTCTTGCAGCAAACATCCGTCTGGCCTAATTGGTACGGAGTGCAGGATGACCTGTCCATAGAGGAGCCTCCCACAGCCCTCCCACCAACCGCAGCCACCGCCCACCTGGACATGCCCCCACCATATGAGGCAGTCTCTGGAGGTAAAGCACACGCTTCAATCCAGCGACAAGTAGTCCAGACGTGCGACATGAGGCCTAATGGGTTCCTTTATTGTTCCCTCATGTTTTCTTTCATATCCTTTTGTTGCCCTGACATATTTCCTCCCACTTGCACGCCAAGTACATTTTAATATGCTCAAAATAACACTTCTCAATTTTCCCTAATGAATGTGTGAATGTACGACTACCTTCAGGTTGGTTTAGTTACGCCTCATGAGTTAATTTAGCTGACGCGAGTGAACCGCTCCAGTTGTTAAACCCTTGATTCAAGTATCATTCTGTCGTCCTACAAACGGTGTGTCATTCGGCCCCGAAATGCTCGGCTGTCTGATGCAGGATGTGGTTTCAACAAATGGAAATTCTGGCATATCTACTCTCACGTAGATTCTCGACACATTCTCCATGACACCCTCACAGCTTAGTTTTCTTTTTTTTTTCCCCACCACAGACACCAAAGGGGTTTTTATGGGGGTTGTTGAAATAGAAGTATATTATCTACTCCAACTGTCACTCTGAAGGTAGATGTCGCAGCTGGATCAGCGCGATATGACCGTTTGGCCATTTTTAAACATCAAATTGAGGACACCACTTGAAACATAGAGCAAAAAAAAAACATCTCATGAAACAAAAATGCTGAGAAAATATAAGAAGAGTCAATCAGATTTTTTTAAATGAAAGGAACTGGAAGCATATAGGATTGAAAAATTGAGTTTCATTTCTACATTTGTACTCACATGCTCCACTTTGTGATTTGGATCAGAAAAGCCTTTTTCTGTCTCTGCATTGTGGGAATGTTCTGGTATCCCTGTGTGACAGTGCCTCTCCATGTGGTTATAGACTGTTATAGCATGGCTGTGTGGATATTTCTCTCAAGCATGCAGTTTAACTGTTTTAAGGCTGTTGCTTCTAGTTGTCAGACAGCAGATAACTGCTGGGCCTCTCTTCTTCTTTGGTTTCAGAGGATGACTTGAAGCCCCCTCCCTACAGTGAGTGTGCCCAGGGGGGTGAGGCCGCCCCCCCTCCGCCCTCCAATGATACTCCTCTCATTTCAGAGGGGGGAAATGTTGTAAGCATCAATGAAGCCCCTCCCCCCTACACGCTGACTCCCCCCACAAGAGTCGGTCAACAAGACTGACCAGGCCACAGAGAGCGGGTCCACTTAAACAGTCGCTGATGCCAGTTTGCCTTTTTCCATGCACTGCCTTCCTACGTTCAACCTCAGTGATCATTGCCAGCCTAACTCTCGTTACGCGAGAGCAAATGTGTGTTTGAATAAGTGTGTGTGCGTGTTTTTGTGTTCATTGTTTTGTTTTCGTAGAATTAGGTTGCTTCTCCACATTTTAGGGAAATGTGGTCGTCTGATGGGTCTTGCAGTACCACAGACCCTGCTTTCCAGCAGGGATATCCGAGAGGAGAACTTTTTTTTTTTAACATGTGCTCTGTATCGTACAGCTGTCCCATGCTGGATGTCTGTGACAGCTGTTCTGCAGAGCTAAGACTCGTTCTTTAAGCCCAGTAGGAGAAATGGGTAGATTTACAACAGGTTTTGATCTCGATAATGCTTCATCCTGAGACACAACAGATCTGAACACAAAATCCAGGCCAGATGTGATAGTATAGACAATCTCCTACTCTTTTTGGGACATCTTTTTGTGTACATACACAAAATAGTACTGTCTATGCAGTGTTTCATCATGGCACTCGCAGGACTATATGACAATGAATACTCAAATAGTTTTAGCCAATTATCCCGTTAGCAGAAGAACGTGTGTATATGTGTGGGGAATCAGGTGGTTTAAGAAATGACACATATCAGGGAGATTTGAAAAGAAGAAGTTTATGAAATGATTGAAAATGCAGTGACGATGAATAAGTGATTGATTTTTTTTTATTTGTTGTTAGCTCCATAATTGTTGCATTTAATCGTAAATACCACTCAGCAGACGGTGGTAACATGAATTTTGTCAAAAGCGTGAACTGACAACTTTGTCCGATAAGAAATGTGTGACAGCCCTAAAAAACTACCCAAAACGAGCTCAGAGGGAATGCTCCCATGTAGTTTTGAAGTAAAGGGTTGAAATAATTGCTGTTATAAAAAGGTTTTCTTCAAAACCAGGTTCTTCACAATGGTTACAAAAAGATGAAAACAAACTCTGCTCTTTGCATCCTCTGCCCATCTGCCACAGGCTGGAGGAGATGGACAAGCCGGTGGGCTTTCTCTTGCATTGGGAACGGGTTTTAGTACGCAATCAGCTTCTCTTTTTTTCCCCCTTCTATTTGTGCAACTGCTTTACAAATGATACACAAGTAAAACCGTAAGAAGATGTAATCCAGTTTAGGCTTTTTTTCCCTTGTTTAAAAAGCTTTTTTTATGAAGCAGTGCTGCGTTTCTTGGCTCAGCAGTGACGCTGCACACACGTCTGGGAAAGAGGCCTTCGTTGTCATGACAAAGGCCTCTCATAGCGGCTCGCTCACGCTAGTCTGCTGGAGATTGAGTTGATGAATGAGGAAAACCAAAATGTGTAGCACTTTGGAGAGATCTGTGGAAATTCAAACCGTCATTTAAGGTGGCCACGATTATTATTTGAGCTTATGTGGCTGTCTTTTCCTTTTTATATCCAGAGCAAAGTTGTACACACATTTAAAATTTTGGCATCTGAACTGCATAAATCTTAAATATTTACAGCACCAGTAACGAACATTATCAGCCACCTTAAAACAGTCATTGCTATTGGAAACGTTTTTTTAGTCTCCACTGAATGTTGCAGGGATTCTCTTCAGTCAAGGGCTCTCAGAAGTAATCTGGAATCATCTAATTCTATATAACGGTTGGTTCATTACTGTAAAAATTGGAATGAGCTTGTATCCCAGCTGCACTGTTTGGACTGTTTATTTTCCCATTAATATTTAAAGAATTTTACCACAAACGGATCAGGTTTCCTGGAAGGATGCACTGCTCCACTGCTTGGCCTCCTCATGGCTTCTTTCATCCAAATCTCATGTACATTTCTCAGCATTGGAGAAAAAAAAGCAACAAACAAATTGAACGCTGTTTAACTTCTTTTTACATTTTATGAAAACATTCTCTCACTGATGCCTTTGTGACAGTTTTTCTCCTTTTTTTTTGTGGTTTCACAATCTGATGGATGCAACAGAGAAGCTGCGAGGTACAAATCTGAATGTACGTTTGACCTGACTAACGTGGCCGCAACATGATGATGATTGACTCTCTAAACCATAGTTTTAAAGGTTTGCTCTGTAATGTTTGTCCTGTTTGTTCACTTCTACTCATTCCCGTGGTGGTTGACAAATCACATATCTCCACGTTGTAGCTGCGTGAGTTGAGTGGAATTGACTTGTTTTTTTCTGTTTAGTCTGTTTGTTTTGTTTGTTTAGTCTTCTTTTGCTCAGGCAGGGGAAGTAAATTCTCTGTAATAAAATGTTGTTATATATAAATATGAATATATATATATATATAAAGTGCCGAGTGTTTTTTTTGTTTGTTTTTAAGCAAGACAAAATCCAAATGAATTTGACATGAACCTACGCCGGGCCACTAGAGGGCAGCCTTCCCCAGCTGATGGTCAGCCACATGTTTGGAAGCACACTGCACTTGTTGCTGAGCACCAAACAGGCAGCCCAGCTGTTTTAAATCACCCCAGTCCAGATTGATGTCTTTCATTCCACCTTTAGACGGGAGAAAATGGCATTGACTTTTTCCTCGCCGAAGTATTATGCTTTTGATTGAAAAAAATAATTGGGCTTGATCAAGATCAATTGTCGGGCCCTCTTGTGGAATGTGTGCTGAAATTCTCTCATATCTGGGCTGCTACATGTTGAGGCTGCATACAGATGAGCTGAGCTGGAGGCTTTCGCAAACTGTATGCACAGTGATACTTTATAAGTTGCATAGATTTAATGTGGTGCTAAAACTTGGTGATTCAGTTTAAAGTCACAGGGGAAAAGTTTTTATGGACAATTCAAAGAAAGCTTTTTTTAAGGTGAATGTCAAGGATACTTTCATTTTCACATTCTTTGATCCGTGTATTCAGTCACGAGAGCCTGTGATGTCTACGCAGTCTGCATCTGTTTGATGGATACAACCCAAATCAAAATCTTCAAGGATATTTGGTGAGCCTTTTTTCAGATTATTGAGGTCTTGAAGGCCATTTTAGAAAAAGGAATAGACGACTCGATTACCTGTTCTCGTCTGGAAGAGATGGATTGTGCTCCCAGTGCAAATAGGTGCAGCGTTTAAAAAAAAAGAAAAGGGTATTTTGAGAGTAGTAATAAAGCAGAGACCATGGAATAAAAATGTGTCCTCTGCATTTAATGGCTGAGAATGTAAGGCGTCCCATTTTCGATTTATGTATATTTTTTAAGTAATTCCAGTCAGTTTCACCGCAATGACATGCTGTTCTCACACTGGTTACATTTCCGTCCTGCTTAACATTCATGTGACATCCCTTTGCAACGACTCTGCATCATCACAACACAAAGCTTGTAAATGACTTTGCAGTTCATTAAACTGCTGACAAATTAGCTTCCTTTTCAGTCTAAACACCTTCATTACTTTTTGTTGCGATGTCCCCTTTTTTTTTTAACGTTTTCCCATGTTCAAATGAATGAATGTTCATTATTTACAGAAAACTGTCTGACTTCACAAAGCAGCATTACTCTTAAATGACCATTTGTTTTGCAGGTCTGTTCTCAATCTTTTTGCAGCCATTTTTCTTTACTTTTTCTCCCAAGGAGGCAAACAACCTTCTGAACTCCAATTCTTTTTTTTTTCTTTTCTTAAGGCTTGTCGAAGGTCTTCCAAAGTTTCTCGGTCATTCATTTTCCACACAGAATTTAATTTGACTATTTTTCAGAGGAATAAAACGTAATAACTTCAGAATAGATGAAGAATTCAAATGCTGAAACAAGAAAAACTTACAATCAGGTCAAGGCCACATGAAATGCCACAAGACAGCACAAATAGTCAAGGTTTGAATCTAATACACACGATTTAAACCATTTTATCACATTGACAGACTCCCTCTCTGAGGCCTCTGGAAAATGTGTGCAATGCCCTTTCATGATGGGAACACACGGGCCAGGTGTTCAGAAGAACTGGACCACGCTCGTCACAAAATGCACAGAAGTATTTAAGTGTGCAAAAATCAGAAGAAAGCAATCCAACTGGTTTATTTAATGGTTGTGGAAAAAGGGAAAAACTATAGAAATAGTGCAAACAATATCATGTTAACCATATGGAAATATGTAATTATTGTACAATCTTCAGAGTAGACGATTGTTTGCATATTTTATGCGGTCTGCTGGTGGATAAGGACCCCCTGCTGGGGGCGGGGCTGTGATTGACTTGTTAAACGTGCAGCAACTTATCAAATAAGGAGCTTTGCATGAACTGTAAGATCATCCAAGAAGGTTTGTTTGAGGCAGTTGCCTCCAAAAGAACCGCTCTATAAAAAAATGGCTGATGATGCTTCGGTCGAAAAAGGTCTTCGATTGACCTTTCCAGACAATATCACCGAAACATAATTAGTTGATTGTGAGCAGTAACGAGGGACACTATTCAGTCATCTGGCCATAACAGATGATAACTTGTGTAATGTCTTGTTAAATCAAGAGGGATCGGAGAGTCTGAGTAGTTTTTCCATGTTAGCCTGTTTGTTTACCATGCAGTGAAAGTCGGTCTAAACAAGCCTTCATCTTCATCAAGTGAGGAAAGCATGATAAGCAGGTTCATCATTTCTCCTTGGCCTGCCTCTTTAGATATAATCTTGAGGGCAGAGACATGTCTGTTCCTGTGTGTGTGTGTGATGACAAGATAAGTGGGGATGTCTCAATGTCAGGAAGGAAGGATGTTCACCTGGTGCAGATGCACATGTATCTAGGCATAAATAACATAGCAGGCAAAATTATAGCTGTTTAATTTTAAGAATTTATGATACCTGATGGGTAAAATGGTTAAAAACCTATTCTTTGTTTTTTTCCCGTATACCAGTCTCACCTAAAGTTTTCTTCATACCAGTTAAATTGTTCAAATAAGGGCTGGTATCATTAATTTTTTGTCAGCTTTTGATTTACACCGAATGCTTTTTCAATCTCAAAGATGAAAGGTAACAATTTACAGATTTTCTATGCTCTGCAGAATTGTCTTGTAAAAGAAAAAGCTCTTTTTTTTTTGCTGTTTCTTCAAATCTACCAGAAATCGGAGGAGTCTTTGATCAAACGAGAGTCTCAAAACTTTTACGGGCTTGCAAAAATGTCATAATTCATACCGGGATTCAGCGTTTCAGAATGCTGTCTTCAGGGTGCAGAAATCGACATGAGGTATGTTGCTCACTTTCTTTTTTTTTTTTTTGCATGCTTTTTTTTTTAAGTAACAGTGAGTGGAGGATATGTGTCAGCTCCTTGAAAACTTGTGCACCAGCAACGCACAAAAGATGTGGGCCGAACCAGAGCCGGGGAGGGTATCTGCAGAATAAAGACCGGTCTGTAAATCCTTCTGAACGCTCTTAAATCAGCCGCTCTTCGCCCCGTTGTTACATTGCCGTTTGCCTCCCGGGCCTCGTCGCTCACCTGCTGTCCCACACTAGATACAAGCCCCCCCACCCACCCACCCATAAAAAAAGACTCCTCCTGTGTGGTGCTGAAGGAAATGTTTTTCCAATTTATCAGCTTTGTGCAAATTTACATTTTAATTGAATTCTTATGTTTCAGCGAGACTGTATTTGCTCAGTAACGGGGGGGGGGGGGGGGGGTTTTTGGGGGGGGGGGGGGGGGGGGGGGGGGGGGGCTTTTAGAGGAGCAGCTTGCAGGCTTGAAGTGGAAGTCCACTGAAGATGACAAGCAGTCAGAGCCACTCACATTGACTATGCAGAATTTGACTTCATGTGCCAAGATCACCGAGTCTGTGATCACCAGGAATATTGTGTCTGTAGAAATATCGCAGAACTACAGCTGGGCTTTGTTTGTTTTTATTTGCATATGGGCTCGTATGCGTTTTAATGAATGTGTATTTGCCAAGAACAGTTTATGCTTCCATTGCCAGGCAGGGATGAAGCGTGAGTGTGAGTGTGTGTGTCCATGAATGGCGGCACTGTCTGTGTATTTGATTCCCGCAGCTCTCTAACATACTAATCAGGATGAACAAGTCGTCTCTTTCACTCTCTTTGATGTGGCAAATATGCTGATGTGGGAGATTCTGTCTAATAAGAAATGAGATAAAACAATACAATTCATCAGCGCTCCGTTGTTTGGTTGACCTATCCCATCTATTTAGAATATTACTTTGGACAAAATGCTTGTGCAAGCTATGAGCCCGCAGCTGACTTTGCAAAACGGTCCAAATCTCAGTCATCTTAAAGCTAGGTTACAGATGCATTGCAGGAGACAGAGCCGAACAATAAATCCGCAAAGACTGATGCAGGCCTGCGAAGCAACAATACAGAGATCAGTGAATAACAAAGTTACATTCGGACAGGTTTAGGTAAGAGATGAAAGGTCAGGTGTCAGTTTAGTTGACTGAAACTGCCCACCAAATTACTCTTAAAGCACTATACAGACAAGATAAGTCTAACACGTTTATTCAATGCACTCAATTTAGTTTGATAGCCTGAAGTTTTCAATGAAAAATCTCCCCAGCAGAAAATGCCATTAGTATTACTATTAGTATCATGTTTTAAGCTTGGAAAGTTCAGTTAGGCCTCTGGAGGTGAAGTTTTTTAGAAGGCATTTCTAGAAAACTTCACATCCAGTGGCCCAACTGAACTTTCCAAGCTTAAAACATGATCTGGATGACTGAGAATCTTCACAGATAGAATCCATATGTGATTTTATTTATATATATATGACCTTGTGTAAGAAATTATCGTGTCATAGATTCCTTCAGGTCACATTTTGTAGGGGTTGAAGGAAGAGCAACAAACTCCCTTTAAGACCACCGATCAAGTCAGTGTGAGTGTCTCATTGTGAGGTTGTGTGTCAACAGTGGAGCTCATGCGTGCACTAACCCGTATTACATTTCAGAAATCATTCATATTATAGCAAAAATAATTAAAAGGATTGTTCCAGTTGGTTTTCTAATATTTATTTGGTGCACTGAACAAATGCTAATCATTTAAATAGTGCAAGCTGAAACTGGATTAAACTGAACATAAAGTGAGGAACGGGCCATCTGAGCTAATAACTGAAAGAAGGCCTCCGGACTGTAACTGAATCCATGATGACCTTCTTTCATTCCTGCCCCATCCAGAGCAAAGGGATCCCACTGCTTGCTTCAGATAAAATGGAATAAAACTTATGTTGAAGTATTGGAGCGACTGTGACTTTAAAGCGATTCTGCATTGGCATGACACTGGAAAATGTTATCAATGCAATTGTAAAGCAGATAAGAGGTAATTAACTGATAATGACAATTCATTCACTTGAGGAAAGTCAATGAACGGAAATAAAAGGCGAGTAGTCAGAGAGAAAAATGGACATTCCTCAGATCTCAAACAAAGGAAGCTAATTTTATTCCTCTTGATTAACTTTCACGCTGAAATGGCATGAATGCTGAATCATCTATCACAGCCG